ACGTATTTTCCAGGTTACTCTCTTTATTTTTAAATGTTAATACAGCAAATAGTTTTATATCCACAGATTTGCGTTTAAAATAGTTGAGAACAGTTTTTGAAAAATTAAAATCTAGCCGGTGTCGTGCCAGAAGCGACCGTGCCAGAAGCGACCCGTGCCGCTAGCGACCCACCAATTTTCTACCGTGCCGCTAGCGACCCAAGAATTTAAGGCGGGAGGCGAGTATGAATTAACGCCGATTCAACTTATATTCTTAACAAAAACTAAACAGAATTTCACTATAAAACCATTAAAACGATTTGCTGTCACATTAAATACATAACAAAGTACTCCTGCGCAGCAGTCCTGCAGACTAAATTTATTCCCATTTGGGGAAGAAATAATAGTTTTTTTATGTAAATTGTATCGTATAATTCATACGACTATACATTTACCAACACATATCCATAAATAAAATAAGCAAACTATAACAGTTTGTAGACTCCAGGTGCATTTATTGTAATAGGCCTATTATTTTTTTATTCTTTCGTGTATGTGTGTGTGAAAGTTTATGGACATTAGTAAACAATGATAAGTATTTTTTTCCAACTGCAATGTTTTGACAATGGTGGATACAAGCCGAAACATGTAAACAACCTACTATTTGAGCTGTTTGTCAGATTATAAGGTATGTAAACCTATTTATCACATTAAATATTACAACTCAGGAGCTAGAATGGAAATGAATTATAACCAAATTACTTAAATTACAAATTACATATATTTTTTACGAATGGTGTTTTTGCTCTCTCGGGGCATCAAAACGAGAAATAAAATAGGTCCCGGGTCTAGATCTTTCAATGAGACCTACGGTAACAGCTTATTCCCTAAATGGAAAAGAGTATTCTAGCTCAACTAAATAAAGAAGATTTTGAGGTTTCTAGTCATAGTATGGCAGCTTACAACCCCTGATGTTGTTGACCTGCTATCACGAAAAATGACTAAGACTCTACTAACTCAAAAATAATAATATGAGGCAAGAAAAGGGTAGGGATTTATTGTAGAAAAACTCTATATATTTATAATGACGAAGCTATCTATACAGCTGATGATTTAGATAAAAAAAACTCCCAAAAAATTAAAACGCTTATAAAAATTGTGGCTTTTGTTATGCCTATAATCCCGGTTATGTCACAAATATTGTTTCTTTTGCACCTGCTAGTATGTTGTAGTAAATGTACGATTTATATATTTGTAAATATTTTTTTTTTTAATTTAATGATTTAAAATATATAGTCTATTTTTATTGTTTTTATATTTTTGCACCGTTAGATAAAATTTTTAGGTCAATAACTCCATTGCATTGTTATTATATAATTATCTGTTTGTAGGCTATATCACCAAACAGTTTATTGCTCTTAATTCATCTTTATACAAATCTTGTTTTTTTTTTAATTCCAACTGTTATTGTTACACAAATAAAAAAAAAAACTTTGTAGCCAGACTGTTGATTTTTTATTATGAAAGTCCCTATCTGATTGGCTGTGTTTTCTGAACTGAAATATGTATTTCCTAAAGATCAATTTCATTTCAGTTTCGAAATATGTTTTGGAAATACAATTACTTCTATTATGCAGTAAATTTGGGGGAAGGGAAGGAATCATTTATAAACATCGGAGAGCCATTTTAAACGTAATGAAATGAAATAAAATAGTAAAATGAAAACAAGCTGTTGTAATTAGGCCTACGCTTTACAACAGGCAGGACGTTGAAGAAAGAGTCCAACTATCTATTTCAAATCCTAATCCAAACATAATATGTTAACAATAATTGTTAACACGTCAACTTCATTAAGCTCCAAGAAGCCACTATCTCCAAACAGGCTAGTAGAAAAAATCCAAAGTTTGACGATTCGAATGGTTTCTGCTTTTTGAATTTTGAAAATGAACAAGCATTTGACATAAAACCACATTAGGACAGGACGACGTCTGTCGGGCCAGCTAGCGTTTTATAAATATCTATTTTTTTTTTTTCAATTTAGAATATTTATTTACTGATAGAGGAAATTTCTCACGCACGGACAGTAGCCTATGTGAGGGGGATTTCTTATTTAATGACTATGTCAGTATATTATTACATAACTATGGCATAATTATAAAATATGTACTGACAAAGTATTGTAACATAGTATTTTACTTACTGAAATAAACATTATTTTGATTATATTTGATAAACTACCTCCATGTGAAGTTTTATTTAGATCTTTTGAGTGGTTCCCATGCGATTAAGTAGTAGACCTATACAAACACACATCCACCATCTCATATTTACATATTTATTTAATAAATTGAAAAATAAAGAAAAGAAAAGTAATTGATTATATTTGGCTTTTATAAAATGATAAAAATTCAAGAACAATTGTTCTATTAAGTTACCACACACATAACTCGAGTCTATGCTAGCAGCTGGTAACTAGAGATGCTAAAACAGCTCTTTAGGCGAATATTGAGATCTTCCAGGTGGTACATATTACTATAACAAGAATAGGATTTGTTTATAAGCCATTAACACCGATTTGAACAAAACATTGTAAAACCCTTTATCAAACAATGGGTCGCTAGTGGCACTCACGCTACTACCAGGGTCGCTTCTGGCACGACTTTTGCTGGGTCGCTTAACATTTTAAAGCGTTATTGTATTTTTACAATCACTGGCAAGGCTTAGAAGCACATCAAATAAACTAAAACTATTCCCGTATCAGATGATAAATGTCTAAGATCATCAAAGCATTGATTTCAGGATCAAATAGTTCTCAAAATGAGACAAAATTAAAAATTCCGTTTCACACTATAATAATACTTTGCAGGAGTGAGGAAAATGTTTAGATATTACTAAAATTTTATTTTTATACTTTAGGCACTTTGGTTATTTTTGTTTAGTTACATCTAAATATTTCAAATCTAAAGCATGTTTGCAAAAATGATTTGTCCTTTACTGTCAATATTTTATTAGAATATAACGAACCCGAGTTTGCACTCTATAAATACTAGGCTACTAGGATAATTATTTGTATAATGCATACCACCTAATGATACACTATGTGTTAAACATAATCCCTGATGAATCGGTAATCCCTAAAGTTAACATGGAAATAATGCTAATCTATGCTTTGTTTATAAAATTTTTATGGGTGTTTATTATGTATTTTTTATTTTACCAAACTTAAAACCCCAATTTCAACCAATTCAAACAATATATTTACAAACTTCTGCTTCTGTCTAGTTCTTTCTTTATTCACTGATATTATAGCACACTGTCAAATTGACCTTAATATAGAAGCCACATTTATTCGATAACGTTGCCAATCATAACCGTTTGCTGCGGACTAATAAGATTACAAGAGTTCCACTTGCAGTACCAAAGACGACGGTACTTCTTTTAATGTTATACTGTATATTTATTTTCTAGTAGTGTGCCCGTTCTACGGGCGGGGATTTTGGAGTCACTTAAATATTATAATATTCAGAACAGCAGTTTGTGTGCATATCAAGTTTGCAAATTTTTCTAGGTATGCAGACAAAACTATTATGGAAACAAAATGTCTTTCAAGTAAATGTCACGTGGATAGACATTTTTTTAGTCTATACTTGATACAAACCACTTTAGAGCGAAACAGCAGTGTTATGGATCTTTGAGGCAGAGCCCTGAGGTAAATGAGTACTTTCCACACGGGTCAATTACACACTTTATCCCGTTTCACATTTTCATTACGGGTCTCTTTTCCGTGAAATGCTGAGAAAAAATGCACTAATAACGGACATGTACACAAACATACAGAATGAAGACACAATTGAGTTGAGACACAGGTGCTGTATTATATGGAAAAAATATAATACTCCAACCCAACAGTTAAAAATTAACGTTTTAAATCATTTGTAGTCTCATACAAAATTTTACACGTGTTATTACTATTTAAACTTACTTAGTTCCAAAGTTTGCCTAGATTGTTGTTCAAAAAACTGTTTAGTATATAAAATGAAGTACAAAAGACGATTTGGATAAATAGTTTAGGCAGTGTACAATATAAAGGCCACGAACTATTAATATGTAAACAACGTAAAGCGTAAACAATTCAATGATGTGTGCCCAAAAAATGTTTCACACAAATGTGTTTAATATTTCATAGCATGAACTATTATTAGAACCCAGACGGAATATTTCATGACATAACATATTGTATACGCATTTTATTTATAGGGATATAGACCTATAGTTAAACATTACACATTTCCTGAAAACGCAAATAATTTAACATAGGAATTTGTTTTGGGTTTGCTTACAAAACGTGATCACGATAATTGCACTACTTGTACACAACTTGTATACCTAATGTAAACATGTCAGTGACAGTTTGAAGAAAGGATCTTGATCTAATATGAGTTAATTATTTCATAGATTACGTACTCTGTATACAAATTGTTGGTATTTGACTATTGACGTATGTAGTAAACATCTAGTAGAAAGTTTGACCAAAATCACACAAAACTGTTGTTTTGAACGTTTGTCATTTTATTCAGTCCAAAGACATTCTCGTCAATCCAGTGAATTGAATTTTGATATATATTCTGGTTTTCTTGGAGTAGGATGAATAAATTTGCGGTTTAGCATCACAGGCATAATGACAGACAAACACAAACTTATATAAGACTCGTTTTGGCTTTCCTTGGCCATTAAACGTAAAAGTAACCAAAAACCTTGATTCTATGCAATGTACAGAAAAATCTGTAATCCAAACATATAAAATTCAAAGCCCTCACTGACTCACTCACTCACTCACTATCACTAACTCTCCTACCTCTTCCCATTTACCTAGGAGGCTGAAATTTGGACCACTGATTCTTTGGAAATTAAATAGGAAAACGAAGTAGATTTTATTCTGATCGGACTTTCGGTCTCCACCAGTATTTTAGATTGTATGTTATTCATATTTAATATTTGAATGTTAAATGCCCATGTTACAGGCATTGCTAGCTCTAACTGCGTCCTCGGCTGTGCTAGCTACACCTGTGGACAAACCTACATTTGAAGGTAGTACAATTATTTATAGTATACTTGTTTGAATCCGATTACAGTTTTAATTCAAGAAAATTTCACTCTCTGTCCCAAACTTTGAACTATACACTCAGTTTAACACTGGCAAAAGTTCACTGACCTATCCGTGAATTCTTCTATCACTAACGATAGGCAATATAATACTTTGTATTTACTTTGTAACGTAAGTACTTTGACCCAGGGTTTTATCTTTTCTCATTTGGTAAGGCATTGTTTACAACTTGCTGAAATGTTTATCGATTTACAATATGTATTTTCAAGAGCTGAATTAATTTAGATTCATTAATTTCAATACAGCAAGATATATCAATTATTGAAAATGGGGACGCCTCTAGGTGCGTATTTTAACCCAACTATGAGTAAGGGATTAGTGGCGCGATCTGCTAGTAACTAAGGCCAACATGTTCCTTCGACACAGCTGTTAATGAATAGCCCAATGGCAACTAAGAGACCTACACTTTATAGTGGAATCCGAACCACATATTGTCTTGTAATTAACGAATTAGTCTAATTATCAGGATAATACTGCGGGTAGTCATAGTACTCAAGGACGTTAATCCACACCAGGGAGTATCGCATCCACAGTGAATGCCTATAAATATCCACAATTCGTTACCTCTTAGTAGCTGGATGACAGGACGACGCCACCGTCCCAGTCAGTCTATGATAGTAAGAGAATAATAAAACAAATATGTTTTACGTTACATTACCTGTGAGCGTTTTAGATTTTTCATTAGGAAATATAACATTGTGAGGGTTTAAGCATAAACTAACCTACTCGGTATCACAGTATTTTTAAGGACTTTACAGTTTTATTTAATATAAAATACTAACTGAAATAAAACTGTTTCTTATAAAGTTTTTGCCTACTTCAACCTAAGATATTCACGAATTGAACTGATTTAATAATACATAAGGTAATTATTGATAACGACCCAAGGCTAAAATCATCATTCAAATAACGGATGATCATTTAGGTAAAATTATTTTTTTTCGTTTAGTTTTAAACTATGATAATAGCATTCATTGTAGAAGAAAATATTGAAAACTGAGGTGGTTTACGTCCTATCATTGTCTTTATATCAACTTGTCAATGATTCATAAAAATGATCTAACTTTTGTATTCTTTTGCAGCGTTTCCAAAAAAGACTCAAAATTAAAGTAGATACAGCAAAGCGTATTTACTATTTAATTCGAGTATTAATAAAAACATTATAACAATTTATCATAGATGGTATGGATTTAAATTGATTGAAAAGTTTTTGTTGTCACATTAAACATCAAGGAATACTTAGACTATGACTTGGAACAATTTTATCTCAAGCAAAAGGTCTTTGCCCTTCTGTAATGTTTTCAACGTGCATCACTCCTAACAACTGTGCATTTCTCGAGTGGCTGCGAATCACTTTCTAATGTTTAACATCTCCTACTAAATTCGTTGGAGTTTTTTTTGTTTTAGTTTGGCTTTAAATTAAATTATTTTAAACTATTTTTACTAACACAACACATATAACACTTATTCCATAATATAATGCAACAATTTCAATGTGAACAATTATACTATTAAAGTTAAATAAGTAAAATTATGTAATACTGAAACAAATAAAAACATACAAACAAAATACCAGTTTAGTAGAAGCGCTAACCACGACATACTAAGCCCCCCCTACAAATGAAATACAAATATTATTATACAAATAATGTTTGAATTGTAACACATTTTAACGTTTGTATTATATCTCCTATTTAGTTTAGCCATAACCTTGGTGAGATACCAGGAAAACTTAAAACATTGGTTTTATGAGTTTATAATACCATAGATAATGGCTTACATTACTTTTTTCAGGTATTCACAAACTAAAAATTCCTTTCGTTTACGGGACTCACCTAAGTCCAAATCGCCTTGGAACCCCCTGCAGGGGCTAAGCCCCCCGCCACCAATTGGACCTAGGAAAAATAAATTTAAACAATTTTTTTTCGTTTAATAAACGTAAAGAAGGTTTTTAGTCACAGTTCAAGAAGTTGGAGTAACTTTGGAAAGTCACCAAACTTTAAAAATACCAAATATTTCAGGGGAACCTACTCCTTTTTTGGGAAATCCCAAACCCTTCTGTAACCTACCTCTTTACAAGGCCTACAGCCACCACTGAAATTCACCTATGTTTTCCACATGGAATCAAAGGAGGATCTGTTGGCACAAAGTTATATGTATAAAGACTTCCATCATAGAAAATATAAATCCTAATATAGGCTGGCTTCCAAACTATAGCGAAATCCAAGATAACCTATTTGGATGCTAGAACCAGAATTTATTTATTTTAGTTCACTCGCATTATTCAGTTTCGCATTATTTAACAATCTTTAATTTCCCAGCAACTACGTCACCACAGAAGTCCTCAGACCACAAATGTACGGGTGTCCTTGCTTGTCAGCTAACAGCAGATCCTAGTGTTGCGAAGGATGAACAGGCAAACCAACCCTTCAAGACTTCAACTCAGACAAGTCTTCATCGCATCCCTCTGGACAAATCAGTCAACCAAATCATCCCTAAGGACTACCAAGGGACGGACATATTAGGTACCAAGGCACATGTACTTTAATAGATATATTATTTAATCTTAATCTTTAGAGGATGACGAATGTGATCGTCAAGAACTATGTTTATAATTGTTGCTTTTCAATTAAACTTGTTTTAGGGAGATTTCGTGATGTTACGTCATGTGTGGTAAAACTATTGTTTGGTTATTGAATTAATATTTCACACAAAAATTACTTAATGTGCTAGTCAAATAATATATATTTTATTTCAATCGCAGTTACATGTAAAATATATCCAAAATCATGCTTTCATACATTATTTTTCCTGGGTACTCGTTCAACATAAATGTTAATTGAATAGACTAATTGAAAATCAATCCAGGCAAATGGAAATTCGCTTAGTCGGCAGGTTTGCTGCAGCGGGGGTATTGTTAACTCAGAATGTGAAAACTTATTTAGGCTACCTAGGATACAAAATATATGACCTATAATTGTATAGGTTTTCAGGTATAATCAAATAACATGTTGAATGATTAGAATGGTTTACACTGTAAACCATGTCAGCAAAAATAATAACCACAATGGTTTTAAAATCTTTATCTACATATTTCATTTCCTCTGTTTACATTTTAATTAATTTATTGGTTTTATATGGCCAACCTATGTGATTGAGCTAAACAAAGGAAATCTTATAAAACTAAGTGGCACGATTGAGATTCTACCCTACATCGAATGGTTTAGTGTAACTGTTTTCTACACTAGCCAGCTACACTACTTTTATTTCTCCTGCATTCTTACCCAGCAGCAATCTCAATTAGGTAAACAGATAAAAGGAATGTTTGTGTTTACTTAGTTAATTGTATTCATTCTTTACTCCTAGCTCTCTACACAAAATTAAACTCATTGTATAATGCTCCCTTTTATTTATGGTATCCTTGGACTCTTTGTACACTCAAAATTTTCATTATAATATACTGTATAATGATTATAAAAAATAAAATAAATAGTTTATCAATCAAATAAAAGCGATGGTAGAATTAACTCGCACGTGCTTTATGTTAAAGAATATATTTGTTTTTAAAGTATTCGAAGTAAGTAGAAAGATGAAAGATAACCATTCATTACTGACCCTTCGGAATCCATACATGAAGTAAATTTATGTAATCACTCTCCTACATTAAACACGAAAAACAACAATTAATTGAGCATTGATAATAATTTAAAAAAGTTAGTTTAGTCCAATCACAATTTTTCATCTGTTCGAGTCCTCAAAAATTCAATTGCGTTATTTGTAATTTTTTTTATTTCAATAGCAGTTAGGTTTTAAATATATCAAAAATCACGCTCTCATACATTATTTTTCCTGAGTAACTATTGAAATTTTACTAATTTAAATGATTAACCATTCATATTTTTCTCCGCTAGGTGTTTTGCGTTAATCTCATATATATGGTCAGGTATATAAGTTTTGACATAGCTGCTCAATAATAATTCAACAAAACCAGTAAAAGTAGATTTCTCATCCTTATGGAATAGCTGAAGCCAACTTTATTGTTAGTTCGGTGCACTGTAGATGTCGTGTTTTGTTTACAATTAGTTTCTTGTTATTTCAGTTACTTTAAACATCGTTTATCTAAATGAAGCGATCTAATCATAAACAATAACTCGTCCCCTAGTTATATAACCAAACATTAAAGCAAAAATAATGAAATTACCCCTAAAACAAAATAAACAAAATTATTTTGACACTAGCCACCAATGTCACCGGACATGAACTGGACAAGAAAAACGAGCTTTAGAATTTACCACGGAATGAGAAGTCTACTTGTGTTGGTTAGTCCATGGTAAAACCTACTAAAAATCATATCGGCCAAGTAAATTTTATTTAAGTTCAATTTCTTTGATGTTACTTCTAGGTAACAGTTGAGAACACCTTTTTTGCATATTATTTGATATAGCTAAGATTTTCTAATTGATGTATATTTATTTTTATGTTTTCTTTTTAAGTAAATCCTGAAGCATCTACCCATGAGGACCAAGAGAGAGTCCAGAGACAAATCTTTCCTGACGCAGCAGGCCTCCTAGGAGGGGTGGTGAAGGATGTCGTTGGCGGAGTGGCTGGACCACCACTGGGTTACCATCGTGAACAAGAGTACCATCTTCCACAAGGTGGCTTCAACCACGGATATAACCGCTTGCATCATGGTCAAGATCACTTCCATCATGGCGAACATCACTTTTTACCTGGTTTTCACCATGAAGGCTACCATCGCGGGCAAGATGGATTTTATCACGGACAAGATGGATACCAACATGGACAGGGTGGATTTATTAGGCCAAATGGTGGGTCCCAACTCACACAAGGTGGAAATGGTCAAGTGGGATTTACTAGGCCAGATGGTGGGTCCCAACTCACACAAGGGGGAAATGGTCAAGTGGGTTTTCTGAACCAGAGGGAGGAGATTCGACAAGAATACTCAATTGGAGCAGGTGGGTTCACCCAAAACGAAGATCCATTAAAATCCTTCATAAGAGGTCGGAGGCATGCACACCCTGGAAAATCGTTTCACCACGATTCTCCTCATGAGGAATCGTTCCATCACCCTTCACATCCTGAAGAATCTGTCGGTCATCATCTTCCCCAAGAAAAAGAAAAAGTACATCACGTTTCTCCTGATCATGAAGAACAATTCCACCATCCTCCTCCTCAACATGGAGACTCTTTCGGCCATCATCTTTCCCATGAAAAAGAAGAGGCCCATCACGTTTCTACTCACCATGAAGAATTGTCCCACCATCATCCTCCACATCATGAAGAATCTTTTGGCCATCATCTTTCCCATAAAAAAGAAGAGGCTCACCACGTATCTACTCACATTGAAGAACCCTTCCACCATCCTCATTCCCCCCATCCTGAGGAAATGTTCCATCACCCTCCTACACATCCTAAAGAACCATTCCACCATTCTTCACCTCATCATGAAAAGCCGGTGCACCACTCAGCTCCCCATCTAGGAGATCTCTCAAATGCATTTATAAGACATCGGAGGCATGTAGATTTTGAACCGAAACACCCTGTAGACCCAATTCACCACTCCCCACCACATCACGAAATACTAATTCACCATTCTCCTCAACATCATGAAGAACCATTCCACCATCCATCTTCCCACCACGAAGTACCAATCCACCATCCTCCACCACACCACGAAATACCAATCCACCATCCTCCACCACACCACGAAATACCAATCCACCATTCTCCACCACACCACGAAGTACCAATCCACCATCCTCCACCACACCACGAAATACCAATCCACCATCCTCCACCACACCACGAAGTATCAATCCACCATCCTCCACCACACCACGAAGTATCAATCCACCATCCTCCACCACACCACGAAATACCAATCCACCATCCCCCACCACACCATGAGATACCACTCCACCATCCTCTCAAGAATCATGTAGAGCTGACCCACCATGTCCCTCCTCATCATATATAAACATTCTGAAATTTCTCTGCAGGCATTTTATAAATAGTGTTACTCTTATATAATTTTGGCAAATGGCTGTTGTTGAAAATTAGTAAACAAGCCTATCATTTGTTGGAGTGGTTATTAATTTGCCAATACTTAGTTTGAGTGGTTTTTAATTTATCGATTTTTATATTCATGAACTTTGTAATAAACATTCTTACTAATATTTGTGTTTTTAATCCACCTAGCAATCAGATGTTACACAAGTAATAAATATAAAATAAAAGTTAATTTATTAATGTATTATTACATTTTTACTTGGAATGTATTACCAGGGTTGAGAGTTTTGACGAAACTAAATTCATTGGTGATATGTTTATAAAGCTCTGTCCGATCATCAGATAATCTGACTACAGTAATTATAAATGAGACTTGTGATGAAAAATAAATTAATTCATAAACATTATGTTACAAAAGATGTTTTCTGTAGAAAGACCTTTAGTATGCAGATATTAATTTTGAAAATATTTCAAAATTTCCTTTTGGATAACGTTTTAGTCCGTAGGATAAGGAGGTTCCGAACCACTTAGTATCGACAAAAGCATAAAAATTCATAAACCTCACGCTCCAAAATCTATACCTTCATCGTCAATAAATTCATCGATTCAAGGTTACTCGTTAACTTTTTCAATCAATCTTGTTAAGATGTTAGTGCAGAACAAAACAATCACATTCAATTTTGTAAACACACTTAGAAAACATCAGCTGATATGATCAGCTGATATGATGACGATAGTTGCAGATCGGGCCAAACATACACATTGGAGCTTGTCCTGTTTGTACTGATAAGACTTACCCTTCCAGGAAATTCTGATGTGTCCTGAGCTAAATACTGATTGTTTAGGGGTGGGAGTCTGTAAAAGCTTAGATAAATTATAAACTGCAGCATCCTTTCTATGAGTTCTACATGATGTTGGTGTCGACCCCTCAACATGGTTCCAAGGGTGCTTTACCTTGCCTCAGTTAGATCTGTGCAGTCAAACAACATATGGTTCATATTGTCAACCCTCCAAGTAATTTAAGTATTAAATATCAAATATTAGATTATGTAAAATTGTTAAATTATTTATTTAAATTGTTTTCTGGAAATGTCACTGATTGAGTATTGCTTTGAGCTACAATATCAATTGAAAGATCATATTACCAATTTCACTTTAAAATTAAAAATAAAATATATTAGTCTGTAAAGCTAAAATTACTCAAAACAACTTCTACGTTTTCAATCAGCATTGTTGTGAAGTACTATTGCTACATAAAATAAAAGAGCAACTACATTATTTAAACCCTAGTCTTAATACTTTAATACTTTTCTTTGAAATGGCGACCATACAAAGTAGTTATTTTAAGCCAAGTATGAATGGAGATGAGTGTATGATGAGTGGCGCGATCTTGTAGTCTTGTTAGTGACTAAGGCCAACATATTCCCTTGACACAGCTGTTAATAGCCCATACAGCTAATGGCGACTAAGGGACCTACAGTTTATAGTGGAATCCGAACCACATTTTTTCCTTGGTATATACGAATTGGTCTAATTATCAGGATAGTACTGCGGATAGTCGTAGTACTCGGATAGTACTACGGATAGTCGTAGTGCGGACGTTAATCCACACCAGGGAGTATCGCATCCACAGTGCATGCCTATAAATATCCACAATTAGGGATAGTATACTCTTTCAATGATATTTATTACTTACTCGTAAAATCGGTATGTCCGAAAGCTTGTAGTATGTGTGTTAGTAGTAATTTTTGTAGCTTCTCCGGCACAGAGTATTCTTTAGTCTGTGTCTTAGGCCAGTGGAGTACTTAGAAATGTCGGAAGAACACCGCGTTTTAATTTCTTTTAATACAATTAAGAACTGCGTTTTAAAGCTATAAACAACTTGACTTACAATATAAAAACTATTGGTGTTGGTATTAAACATGTGAGTACAAACTAAATGACAAATAGTGGATGATACAGGTAAGGGCATGTGTTAATTTGGTTTTTTATTTGATTTAAAACATTTAAAATCATAATGTTACATTGTTGTGAATTTGTACGCATTTTAAAGTATTTTTAACGAATCAGTCTACACAATTTATTGAAGTGTAGATGGTGGAAGGTAGATACAGAATGATGCAATCAACCAAACAGATTATGGAAACTGATAAGTAGGTCTAGGTCAAACCTGTACTTTATAACTTCGATACGCGAAAGATCATAACTGGAAATAAAACAGACAATGTTAGTTCCATAATATTTCTACAGCATTTCACATAACTGCTATAGATTTCATTTTAATTTACAAAAACGTTATCCTTCACTATACGTTATTAATTAGATTAGGGATTTAATAATTAGGCCCTACGTTACTACGAATTGCTTAAGTTCTCACCATTAAAACTGATGTGTGGTAATTTAAGAAAAAGCCATAAGCCTATTTTGAATATAAAATAATAAACACAAAGATTGTATTTACATAATTTGTATTGAATAAAACTATTTGCTTGTTCTACCCATTCAAGATTTTCTTTACCTCTATAAGAGATAGTAAACTTGTTTAAGTTTGTGTTTGAATGATAATTCTTCGCCTTCAGTTGTTGGTTTGGGCAACGAAACTCGCCTGTGTCAAGCGGTCAGTATTCATATTTATCAGGCAACTCAAATACTTTAATAGAAGGATACAAATTTATAATAGTTATATTCTATTACAGTAAAAAGACGTCTTTATTCTGTGGTTATTTTCACATACAACTTTTTGTTTAGCTTGTGCTTTTTGGTATATTTGCTGTTATTAGATGTTTAGTACTCAAAATTCTATGGCTGAAGATCATTGATTAAGGTTCAACTGTAAATCTTGATTTTTCTACTATGATTGCCTTTTGAGTTGACCTAGTTTTCCACATTTTCCTATTTCATTATCCTGTGCTAAATATTTGTCATTTTCAACCGCTAAGTGTCTGACCACTGCCCAATTTTTTTAGTACTAATCTTGTCCTTTTCCAGTCTTTTCTTTACGGGTTTCTAATTAATTCGGGAAAATATCCACAGGATTCCTTCACGACACATAAGCTTATCGATCTTAAATTCAAAATAGAGTTGTCCGGACGAAACCAAGCTGACTAACCTCGGGTTGTTTGAGAATATCTTCAGTAATTTAGTTTACTTGCAAATCTACATAAGCACAAACAAAATTATTTAAGAAATCAAATTATGTATTGTTTTCGTACATGTTTTTCTAATGGTTCTTATAAAGCTAGAAATTAAATATCAAGCAATCAGCGAATGTACTATCATTATGGATTTTTTTACGTTTAATAGTTTGGTCAACATTTCGCCATTCTAATTGTTCATCAATAACAATTACTTTTAAATGCTACCTGCATGCTGCAAACTCAGGCTACATACGGTGTTTACGTAAATGACCTAACATGGCACAGCAGAGTTACTAGTTTTAAATAGTTGCATAATTCAAAACACAAATAATTGATTAGAAAACCAAAAGAGCAATCATTGACTTACATTTATACAGACAAAGGAATGTCAACAAACACAGTGATTTTAATTTAATTTATTTTAGAAAGTGTAGAAATACTTTACATTGCACATTGGTCACACAAATTATCACATGGTTAAAGCTGGATCGTTGAAGAGTTGGGGTGAGATCAGTTAGGGTGTTCAACCCCAGTATCCATGTCCACCATAGCCTCGGCCCCATCCTCGTCCTCCGTATCCACCGTATCCGCCTGCAATATAAAGATTAATTACGTTAAATGAAAATTATAATTCAAATAAACTGCTGAAATAATAAAGCAAAAACTAAGTAACTAAGCGGTGACGGGGTTTCCGCACTGCACCCCTTTAGTGATACGGCCAATTGCAATTTGAAAACAAGTTATGCAACCATGTTTTAGTATGTAACTGTTCTAACAAAGATCGTTACCTGTTCGGTTCTGATGCGATAGAGTTAAACAGTTATACACTGAACCCATCCATTTATGAACGTGTTGTTCCTAAGAAGTATTCTTCAGCATATTATTTTATGTGTTTTTAATTTTCGTTGGGTTTTTTTACTTTTTAAAAGGGACTGTCTAAACCATGGTATTTTCACTATCTAACATTGACTTTAGGTTAGATTGCATAATTTATTGACAAGCCAATATGACTAATTGCATTGAGTCTTAGAATCGATCGTCCTTTGCATCGAAAATTCAAATTGAAGACAAGGACATCTCAGCTGTTTGGAAAGTAAAGAAATCTTTAGTCGGGGTTATATTAGATTGATCTAATATTAGGGATGTTAGATGGTAAGGAAGTAGTTGAAATATGGGTGCATAACGCAGATAGATTATCTATGCTGCTTTGTTGCTAATATATATTCTTTTAACTATTCGTTATTCAAAGTATAACGACCGAGAATTGCTTGGTATAATTACGCACCAGCAAACAGCTACTTTCCTTCCTCAGGATTGATTGAATCTTTTTATTCACGGGGGAAAAATATAGGTCACTACAACAATTGAGTGTGTGTAAGCCATGGAATGTTGTCTGTGGTGGTTTGAAAGTAAAACCGCGGTTTTATACTTAGTTGTACATACCATATCCACCATAACCGCCACCGTATCCTCCTCCATATCCGCCGTATCCACCGTATCCTCCTCCATATCCACCATATCCACCGTAGCCTCCATATCCTCCATATCCGCCATATCCGCTATATCCTCTTCCACCATAACCGCCATATCCTCCACTTCCAAGTCCACCATATCCACCATATCCTCCTCCCCATCCTCGTCCGCCGTAGCCTCCCCAGAAGGTCTCGGACCTCTGGAGGTCGTCATCAGCTCCTTTCGTCTTCTCGTCTTCGGCAGAGACCACCGCCATGACGACGGCGAACAACAGGAAGGCCTGCAACAGAACATATTGCTAAGATGGTGTTTGTCTATCTGCACCGGTAAGTATGGGCGAATAGAAATCACTTAGATAAATAATATGTACACTGTGAATTTATTTGTAATGTTGTTTGTTTGAATGGATGGATGGTTTCTCGGCCCTCCGTCCAACTTGGGACTGGTCAACTTCTTGGATTGAACCACTTTTTTTGGGTTTAGGGGGGCTCAATACGGATTTATCCACTAAAAATTTAAACTCGAAAATGTTGACGATAACAATAGGTACTACTCCTTATACAGGGAGAGAAAGTATAAAAAATAGTGATCAACATACCAATTAAATATTCTTACAAACATTGTCTATGGAGGACCGCCTTCATATTATACAGAAATGTATCGATTTGTACACTTAACTAATACTACTAAGTTTTAAAGTATTAAAAGGAAGAATTTGAAACATTCAATGGTCGAATAATGTAGGTATTGCAATTGCAAATCATGTTAATTGATGTATTGTCAAGAGAATAATACTATGTGATAGTTCACAAAAATGCAAAAACTATGAAGTGTGAGAAATAGCTGAAATCGTTCAATATATATAGATAAAAAAAGTGAAAATTGTTCGATTGGCAATTTTTGACAGTATAAATTATCCACTTATACAGATTCTCACGTAGAATCTTAGACTACTTTTACAGTTTTTTTCAAAATGCAGAAATCTCAACAAGTAAGGTAAAAAGTATACTGTTAAGAGTCCGGCCTTTAACATCTCTAGCTTGAGTATGAATAATTAGGAAAGTTGTGATTGACTTTGGGGACAAGTTTAGTTTTTCAACGACTATGAAGAATTCTTATTTATAAGGCTGTAACGAAGCTTTCTAATGACACTGCTTTTCTTTCTTTTATCCATCGCAATCTCGAAACCATTAGTGAATTGCTCAAACCATTCAAATTTGCTAAATTACAGTAGTAAAATCAAATCCTGGTTTATGAAAGATCTACTATTACTATGATAATAACTGTCGTGGATTACTTATTTTGTAGGCGTATGTGTTACAGTATTGATTTAGGAAGACAATTATATGTTATAATACTTAATTTTTATGGATATGCATAACCAAAATTATGGTAGCTTCAAACTTCAGTGCTGTACAACAAACTAAACCATAAAAAGAGGATTTTTTTATCTTTGGTATGTTTCAATATTAACCACAAATATTTCTCTGGGGAAAAACTATTATTTTTAATTTTCAAACGTATCCAAACCATTAATAACCCGATAAAAGAAAGATTTACCTCTTCTTCTCATAAAGCAGTTGTTGTAGTCCAAAATAGAAAAGTGCATAATCAAATATTACCAAACGAAACGATCATATTATGACATATGTGAGACCTTAAACGCAAATAAATGTCTCTTTATTTTAACTTAAATGACGATTTTCTTCTGTAATAATGGTTTATAAAAAAAAGGTTGGGTGAAATTGGTTTATACAGCTATTATCGTATTTTAAATATATAGTTGTACCTTAATCTAATGTTTTGATTATTTAATTTTAAACCTGAGTTAAAAGAATTTCAATATTATTCTCGAAATAAAAAACAATCTGCATGATAATATTAATTTAATTCAAGTTTTTACATCACTCACTAAGTACACCTAGAAAGTTCCTACATCAAATGCAAATTGACGACTTCAAAGTTTAGGAAGAAAATTGTTTAGAAGGTAATGGAGAGATGACACATCAATCTCTCGTCTTATCATCGATAGTAAAATGTTTACCCAATTTTAAAGTTTGTATTGGAAATTGGTTGAAAATTTGTCTATTACGTGATAAACCATGCGGTTTAAATTGCTTTTAGACAAGTACTTGAACTAATTCATGTTTTATTTAACATTTAGACATTGTCAAGAAAACCTCCGATAAAAATAGAAAAGGATATTGTTTATTTATGATTTCAAGTTTGAATTCACTGTTAAGAGATTTCGTTCATTTGTTAAACTATCAATATTTGGTATCACAAAATACTTAAAGAAGAAGTCGTTTCACCCGAGATATTTCATAAATAAAATTCCTCATGTTTCTCATAAATTGTACAGAAATTACAATATTCACAACACGTATACATATACATTTTAACAATCAACCTTCGAAAATCCATATAAATGAACTAAAACTATCCCAATTTTTTTAAAGTCTCATACTTTTAGGTCGTACCAATAGCTCACTTATTTATTGGTAGTCAATTGACAAATTTATAATGCTTTGAATATTAGTGGAATTTTGATATGTGGGTGTACACTTATAACCTAAAATCCATCGGAACTTCTGACTTCACCACAATAGTTCCCCCTCTCCACACATGACAGCGCCACCGGAGAATCGCTAGTAATTATGAAGATTAAATGTTTGTGGTTTGTGGGAAACTAGAGACGTCGCTGTTAAGAACCACTGTTATTAACTGTATAAGTGTGGGATATCATGGATGACTTCAACACTGAGACTGTCTAACTAGTTACATTGTTTACCAACAAGGTGCAAAGTGTAATTTTGTATTTTACTGTTTCCGGATTTGTGTCAAGGTAAAATCTTTAGCATTTTTATTGGTTTGAACTGAGAATTAATTGGTAAATAAAGGAATTGGAGAATTAATATTTTATTTACGTTTCTAATTGTTTAATTTCTTATTTATTTTTATAATCACTATTATACTTTTATATTTAGTAAGTTCATTTGCTGTTTTTTTTTTAAATGGCACGTTTCTCTTCTAGGTTTTAGTATTTTACTTAGTAAATTTAGTTATTTTTCGTCACGACTAATGTTTTAATTCGTCCCCCAAGCACAGGCATTGCCTATGTATAAAACTATAAACGTTGGTACAGTATTTAACACATTACAAGTAAATAAATAACAATAATGAATGTATATTTTACTAAATATGTTGAAATCGTGTTTGTATTATTCTACATGTTAGATAAACATATTCTGCATCCACAATATTGCATTCTCTTTTGATGTGCTATTTTTTATTGAACGTGACCTCAAAGACACCTTTAGAATTGATAGAATGTAATGTTTAGGGTAGTTAAAGGAAGAGTAGATAAATTAACACTTTTAAAAGTACAGTGCAATATAAACTACGTTTCGCAGACTATAACAGGAAAGGTGCTTTGAGTAACTACGTAACTATGTATAATATGCATCTGTTTTTTTTTTCTGTCATTGTAAGGTCGGAATAGTTTTTTTTTTTTTTTAACAAGATGGATGTTGATATGAACATATCGTATGTGTACCTACTAGCTAAGTAGGTTTACTAACTTGTAAATCTAAATTTGTTTTCTGCATGACACACAACATTTACACAATTAAATTCATGCTTGCACATGTTAATTTATATCTAGTAAGTCATATATCTTTGATATTAACAGTAAAACATATGTATTCTAATATACAAGTTTATTTAAATCACGATTTTCTATTTGTTTTACCCTGTAATTGACTACATTTGATTAACCATAAAAAGTGTTAGAAACCTTTATTTTTCTAGTTTAATTAACTGATGGAATAGATATACTTTAAATTACCATTAATGCTTGTAATTCAAAATTTATTTTATCCAATAATATAAGGATAAAATATAGAGCTGGTGACGGAACCAAATTTAATTTCACCGTTGTAGTCGTTATTACATTACAAAGATGATATAATGATCTCCAAGATGTTCAATAAACTGAATTAACCAACGCATCTTGTTAGTCTTTGTAACAAGATGAAGATATAGTCTACTATCCAGCTAAAATTTAATCTTTTGAGGAAAACGGAATAAGATAAAACCAAAATAAAAATTTGTTACTATGTTTAATCAACAATTCCTAAAAACTTGACAAACATTTAATTTTGTTGAAATCTTAAAATGTAGGCCACTATCTTTTTACCTACTTAAAATGAAAACCAGCGTTTGGAATGTGAATTTATTTAAATTAAATAATTGTAAGCGTTTTATACACGGATATTTACATTTCACAGTAAATTATTGAAAATTATTCAATGGCTTAACAATTAATTTAAACAATATTTTTAGGTCTTTAGAAGTAGTTTGGATATACTGCTATCCTTTCGTTCATAACCAGTCTCCACTGTAACAAATATATAGATATTTAATAGTTTTGATTCAACACAGAAAATGATTAAATTCAATACGGCGTTACTGTACTCCTGTATCAGTAGGAATTTTATAAGAACCTTATTTTTTTGTTATAATTTTTCTGGTTGAGAGATTTTTCAAATAGATAATTTTATAGATTACATTCAGATACACTGGGTTCTTTCAGCCATAACATCAACAATGGGTAAATTGAAATGCATCGCAAATAAATTGAATGAGTGGGAAGTAAATGGTTGAGCACAAAGCAACTCCCACATTTATTTCGTCTAGTTATCGAGTTTATTTGTTTGTGAAGAAATAATAAAATGGTGATTGTTATATTTTAATCCCATAATTTCCGACGTGTATATTAACAAACTCATTCTTACCTAATATTATTTTCTCTGATTATTTACCAAACCTTTTTTATACCTACAAAGTTTTATTACATGGATTAATCATGATAAATACACTCTATGATCTAAACAATTATTGTAACTATAAATACGATAAGAAACATGTATGAAGAACAAAAATTTCTAAAATATTCCAATTTAACAAATTAATACCTAAAATAGTAGTAAAATCAAATATTCGATCAGTATTTTATTGGCGTGTTTAGCTTAGAACAAAAAAAAACAAATTAAAAACTATTCAAATATAAAAAGGAGCATAAAGTATAAGGATGTATCAAAATAAGAATGTAAATTAATTAATTATTATAAATTCCATTAATTACGAAACTAAGCAAGTATTTGTTACAAAAAATTAAAAACATAATTCAATACTTATAACCGAAATTACGTCCATACAAATATATTTTATATAAATATTAATAAACATTTTGTTCATAAACGCATGTAGTTCCTTAACATTTACCTCCGGGAAACAAATACAAAGGATTGTCATTGCCAGAAAGCACAACAAAGAACAACACCACGCTCCACAGAACGCTAATGTTATTTCATTTAATAAATGTAGGCGTTGTATTCAGGCTAAATAAGGAGGATTGTTCGAGAAAGAAAACAGATGAAGTTATTTTTCTTGAAATAATTTGTTCAGAGCGTAGAACCATTGTTGTTTATTTATTCGTGATTATTTCTGCAGGAGAACTACAATACATCTCAATGAAAAAAAAACATAATAAAAATTGTGTTACATTTTTTCAGTCTGACTTGTAAATATGTCATTGTTGGCAAAGTGGCCCTTGACTGATTTGCTACTTAAATAACTATATAAGTTTCACACTTGAATAACTTGTATTTTCTCCAGCCAATACGAATTTTTCATATGATTTACACTTCGTAAGCTATTAAATTTTTCCAAAACGCTTTCATATCCCAATCATCTATTTTGTAACAGAGTTATAAGGCTGTACAGTGTACATTATAGTAAAAATATTGTTTCATCAAAATGTCGCACTGTTGTATTTACATAGTTACACCTAATAATTAATGATAACAGTCGAGCTCATGTAAGCTCATACCAATATTTAAAGGTAATTAATAATGACATATTAATTGTCGTATCTTACAATATTAAAGATAATCAAAAACTCCCATGATAATATTTAGAGAAAATGACTATTCCTGTTATTTTCAAGGCAATGTTCAGTTGTAAAATAATCTGCTTCATATTCATCTTGTTACTAAGCCTATCAAACTGCTTTAATTAACTTGGTTTGTTTGAGCTATCTCTGAAAAGGTGATTTTATTTTGGTATCTCACTCTAGCTCTATATTTCGTCATATTGTACATGATCATTAGGAGTAGTTCTTGGAAGAATAGTTTATTTAAATACTTTGCATTGAAACTGTACTTATTTATCCACATTTGCTAAGAACAATCTTTTAATTCATGAATTCTCCTTTCGCATTTGAACTACGAAAAAGATTCGTTAATCATCATGATCGTATTTTTCTTATAGACATTTTTGATGGATTTGGAATTAAAATTCTTTGGTAAAAACGTCAATGATGAATTTTAAGTGGAATATATTCACATAAAGATCTGTTCTAAAAATTCGACCTAGATAATAAAGAAAAGATTATTTTAATTATGCTTTTTCTGGATGATAGGAAAATTTATGGTTCTTTTGAAGAAAACAATTATCGAAGTAATTTAGTCTTTCAAAAAGAATTTTGCGCTTCAAGAATAATTATGAGGAATATAATTAAAAAGTTCTTTCGGCTAACGACGTATTGAAAAGACGCCAAGCTGGCCCCTTTTATTGTGACAATATTATAGCTAATTTTTGTCCAACAGAATATTTTAAGGAAGTTACTAAAACAACGTTTTATTTTTAATTTGTAAGTGTTTTTCTATAGTTAATATTAAATAGCTTATAGTGTAAGATGATTTGTTGTGTTTTTAATATTATCAAGAAATACTAATTAAAAAAATGTGTCATCTAGAAGAAAGAGATAAATTTGTTCCTTATATCCATTTTAAACTATCATTCATGACTTCAATAATAACAGGAACATTTTTAATATGATGATTAAGTCAATTTACTGTTGTTGGAAGAACGTAAAGAATAAGTGAAAGAAGGTTTAATTGATACCATAAAAAAATCTGTAATTTTCCTCTTTGAACTGTATTAAAACGGATCATGTTAAATTTGAATGCATTGCTCGTTAAGATACTAACTTTTTCTTAAAACATTTTAATTTGACTTGACACGTACAAAACAATAATAACAGGTTAAAATGCATTTATGATACCCAATATAGTTGTTAAGTGAGGAAATGATTTGAAGAAAGCATTAATTGATAGTAAAAGCAAATTCGAGCTAACACAGGGCCTGGTTTATGGTAATAAATAACATGATTTGGTTTTTTTTAGAACTTAATGATAATTTTCTCATGCATTGAGCAATTACAAAACACTACAACGCTTTCAATCCAGAGTAGGTTCAATCCTAATTGATTCAAGTTCAATATATGTATGTATTATTTTATTCCGAGGTTCATTATCGTGATTTATATTGTTTAGCCCAATAAAATCTCATTAAAATATCTACCTATGTATAGGTTGATAACAATGATCTTTTCCCACTGTAACACCCCTTTTATAACCCGTCCTACGTAATAGGTTTTACGATTGAAGTTTCCTTTTTAAGCTTACAATCTAGCGGGGGGAATAGTGAAAGACATTCCTTTATTTTATGTCTTAAAGACAAGTTTTTAACCCCATTAAAATGCACTATTTGAGCACGGGATCCCTCATTATTTTGTAAACAACAATACATGTTTAAGAAAATATACATTTAAAAAGAAAAAATAAAAAAAATATTACAAACATTCTCAATTTTATTGTTAAATATCATTCGTACGAAGTGGTCAAATTACTTAGCACAACTGTTTAAATTCCTTTTTTACCAAAAAATATAATGAGATATTGGACCTTAATGAAGAACCTTTTATAATATTCAATATGATATATTAAGTTTTCCACACTATCAAAATCACTATAGAAAGATCTTTTCGCCAAGGAACTCATAAAATAATGTTAAAATAATATTGTATAATTAAAGAGTAATTTACTCCAGGAATAAGAACGTAAGGTAACTAAACTCAAACACAACCAACTTCCTAATAATTTGATAAACTAATAAACAAAAAATTTTATGAATTATTATACAGATCAAGCACGTGTATTGTACCACTTACAAGAGCTGGTCGCAGCATGGTGTACAGGTCACAAGTGGTTGACCTGGTGGGGCACCCAGCAGGTTATATAGAGGGGGCCACACCCCCCTCCCTCTCACAGCACCGTCTGTAGTGGGTGAGTCACCCCCCTCACAACACTGTAATATTGTGTACCATCAGTAAATGTAAGTAGGATGTATCCTAAGGATTCGAACATCAATGATTTAGGGTTTTTAATTTTATCCACTTTTTCCGTTTGATTTTATATTTGTAAGGGGTCACTCATCGAAAATATTATGTATTATGCTCAAATATATAGTAGGTAGGTAGAGGCTAAAATATTCAGACATTAATAATTTAATAATTAATTATTTCAATCGTATTGGTGTTCTTTTGAGTAATGTGATGTGGAGGTAGCAACGTTCAATTTTGTTTTGTGCTTTAAAAAGTACGAAGACATACGGTATTATTTGCTAAAATATGAGTACTGTCTACATATTACTGGGCATTAAAAGGATTTTCAACGATTTAACTATTATATAAACTTAATAATATCGAGGAACAAACTTTAATCGAGTAAATTAAGCTCATAAATGAAACTAACAATTGAATATTTTTAGCAGCCAAACTACGATTCAATATTAGTTCTTTCAAAGTGGTTAATCTACCAAATAGACTATAAAACTTAACTAATTTAATGTTTAATTGATAATTGATAATTGTTAAATGTATTTTAAATTATGTTATACCGATTGAAAATATTAGTTTTGAGATAAAAATATCTTTTAAGAATTGTTGGTTACTAACACCAAGTGAATGTGTCTATTCGCACAATTTTGTCAATGCAAGATGTAATTGAATTATTCCTTTAGATAGAAGCACGTTGAACAGAATTAATTAGTCATAGAGTGTACTTTTATCCTTTAACCTCCAACCTTTAACACAATGGTGTTCACAGCCTTGTTAATTAATTTCATTTTCTTTTAAAAATTAGACCAATGCAACATGCTGTTTAAAAATACGTTTGATATTTCAATTATTTAAAACTTAAATAAGCAATGTGAGAATTACATTATTTTGTATGGTTAAAAATCATTCTAGCCTAGCTTTGTTAATATATTGTGTATTATTTTACTTTTTCATAATATTTCCAAGGATATAGGTTTCGGATTTGAGTTTCATAATGATTCGTAAGAATCAGGTCGTCAATTGAGTTAATTAATGTCACAGTCTGTTTTTTTTTATGAACATAAAATCGTACATTATACTATCGATTGTACCATGAGAAGGGCCATTAATACAACATGTAATGCTTAGATCTGTATTATGCTATCCATAGGCTGCAGATCTAACTACCAAGGACTGACTGTCAACATCCTTACAACATTATTGTATTTATTGTTTTTTTTTGTCATTTAAAGTAATTATACAACACTTCGTTCCAAGTTTCCTCTCTAAACTAAAAATTCAAACTTACAATGAAGACATAGCTTTGGCATTTAGAATGTACTATGTAAAAACACACATTACTTAGACATAAAATGCCTACCCCATTGTACAGGATTATCGAATATTAATCTTTCAATGACGGAATGAGACCACTAACGCACTAATCCATACATCACAATTTCAGGTAGCTTTTTTACCACATTTCATGACGCTGCATTGGTTAGTAGTTTTATTTTGTCTTGTTTGCACTTTGTTTATTGTATGTACAGTATTGTGTTAAACCTTGTAAAATTAGTTAATACAAAAATATTTTTTGATAGCTTTAGGACTACCATAAAAAATTGAGACTACAATCTAATAAAATTAAAACACTGTTTAGTGTTTAATGCTGGTCTAATGTCAGCGCATGGAATTCCACCCTGAAAGGTCAAGGGCCGAATCCCGCCCACTCGCAATATGTTTTAGCCATTTGATACATACAGTACATATTTTTATTTTTCTCATTAGGTTCTAGCCAGGAACTATTTCACACATTGCTTTAGGCTAGTCCTAGGGGGTCACGGCAATATCACATGGAAAAACCATTGACGATTGGCGGGATTTGAACCTGAAACCTCAGGCACTGCAACATGAGCTCTACAACTAGACCAGCTCATTCTCCTATACTCGCTTCCCTAGCCATGTGATAGAGCCAGAACCTAGTTGGTCGGAGAAGCTCAATGACAACCTATCGTAGAAGTATAAAATGAAAAATTCTCTTTTAACTAAGTGATTGCATTAGCGTCAAAAATATTCATTTATCGAACGTAAGTTTTTTTAAACGACTTTTCTATTTTATTATACTGCTTTTAAGTGTCACTTTGTTGAATTCAACACTCAATATTGTCTCCAATGATGAATCATCGCAACGCAGCACTTACACTTCTGTCTTTACAGTTGAAGGTCTAACTCCTTGTACTTCAAAGGAAGTCCCATTTTGATTTATCTTTGGCGGAAGCAAGTGGTCGTTCCAGCTGAACAACTACAACAATAACTTAACTCTGACCTTCAGTAATTCGAAGCATAAAAAACAAACAGATCGAATTTTTTTTTATTGCTGCAATTTTCTCTGGCTTTACCAACTATGAATGCTGGCCCCACTTCGTTCTAGCATCCTCCAAGCAAAGCTCCAAGTAAAAGGAATACCTAAATCTGATTGGGGTGAAGAAAAGAAGATATAATGAACATTAGAAACAGAGTACAGTAAACCCTTTACGCGTAGACAAACTCGGCCTAGTTGAGATGAAGTGCGACAAGTGTTCCCAGGCTTGTGTCCGAAGAGTAGAGGAGGGTTTTACAGCCCTCAGTAGTCCTAAACCCGTAGGAGTACTTGCTTCGACACAGTATATACAAGCTAGTTATTTCACAAGGAAGACAATAGATTAAATCTAGGAGTAGTAACCAAGAAAAGTTTGTAAAATTTATTGAATGTCGTTAATAGTTGAAAAATATGAGGGTGGGCAAATGTTTCTACATTCAAAGGTTAAAGGTATCTCTATCTCATCGATGCAATAGCTCAATAATGTTGTTTACGTAGGTGAATGCAGGCTTGTTTGTGGAATTTATTAAAAAATGAGTGAAATATATAGCTTTTTGCTATTAAAATTACTTATTGAAACAACTAAAATAGACCCACTCTAAAGACCACATGGGAATATGGAATAAAATTGTCTCCAAAAAGTAGTACCGAAACCTCACTAGTTATGGCGTTAATCGTTTATTTTTCATAGCAAAATATAATACATTTTTTATCACAAATCTCATGATCTGTGTCGTAGAATGTCTTGTTTAGTACAAAAAATTTAATTCTGCTCAGCCACATACAGCTTGTTAAAATATTTTTACTAAAAGCTCTGACTACTTAAGAATGGGTGACAAGATGAATAAATGTATTGTAACTCTACAAAAACTACCTAGTACTAGATATTCTTGATTCCATGAAAGGAATCTAAAAAAAACTGTTGACGTAATTATACTGATGAGTCAGTTAAACAAAAACAACTGCATTAAACAAACAACAAGAGGTACAAACAGTTCTGTGAGTTTGTCTAAGAAATTAGAAGTTACTTCTTTGACCTCGTGAATGGCGAATAATTGGTTTTACCCTGTCTGCATAGACAGGTAGGTGATTCATCTGTTGGAACCGTTTACGTCTAGGAACAAGTTTTAAACAATAGCCATTTCGTGGCCTAAAGTTACTTTTCGACACAGGTCCTAATTTAACGACAAGGTGAAACTTTGGTTACAAAATGAGCAAGGGGCAAAAAGATATTTTTTCCATGTGATTAAGTATATACATTTCATCGTACTAGAATATTCTCTAAGCAAACTAATTAAAAAATTTTAATTTCCTGACCTTTATAAGTTTACTGGTAAAATAGTTTGCACAGTTTAAGCTATTATGTGGGAACATCTGGTTACGATTATGAAGATACGGCCCATTTAGCAATAGAAAGTTATTAACTTTAGCATACCATAAGCGTTTTATAATTTGACATACTCAAAAACAGATAACATAACGAGATAGGAAATATTCTTATAATCATAAACATTTTCAACATCATAAACATATTTGGCACACATCAACCAATACGTTCATTTTTATATTAATCCACCCCAGTAACACATTATTGCATTATCTAGATTCTACCCACGATGTATATTGTATAGGCTACCCTGGATGATACAATATCTATTTGGTCTCAGTCTACTGAGCCGAAAGATCAGATTAACCTACTGTACATCGGTGAGTAAATACAGAACGTTGTTCTTGCAAAAACTTACAGTACATTATTTTACAACAGTATATCAAATAAATGATCAACAAGCAAAATGATTACATTATGAGTATACACAGGCTGTTTTTAAACGCAACCCAAATTACAAGTGACATAATACACTAAGCTCAAAATTTGGGGATAGTATCCCTGTATTCTTTACTAGCTGTGTACCCGTTCTACGCACGGGGATCTTATAGTAATCAGTTGAAACCTTCTTATATAAAGAACAGCAGTTGGTTTGCATATTTTCAGATATGCTGGCCAAACTATTTATTATACATAACTTCATTTTATGTCGTTTGTTGTTCTGGATCGGTATGACAATCAATAAAAGGCTAAATTACGTGTGTCCACTGGTCAATCCTAATGTATCCTATTACAGGAGATGCATTTCGGCGAAATTAAATCGCCATCATCAGTCCTAAATGTCTTGAGCTTCCCCATTAGGCGCGTCTTGGAGTTTTTGAAACACATACACGAACTGCACACTTATACACATGACGAATAAAACATAAATACACGGTTAGGCCCACTTTTATTTTTACTATAGACAAATTCCTAAATGGCTCTTGGGTCGTAACAGACATGAAGACAGACAGAAATTTAGATGAGACTTGTTTCGGTTTCTCTAATGTATAAAACGTAAAAATAACCTAATAGTTTATGATTCTGAGCAATGTACAGACAAAACTCTAATTTTATTTATACAGGGTGACAAAAAAGTCTGGAAACGGTTTATTATCTTTTTTAACTAAATCCGTTTGAAAATTCAAACCTTTCACATCAACTTACATGTATGAAAACTACTTTTTCCAAGCATTGTAATTTTTTTTACCTCT